TGAGAGGTATTTTGGTATTTTTAGCTTCAGCATTGATTTCCGTAAGAGTTTCTAAAACACCTAACTTGAGTACTAATCAAATGGATCAGACTAACGACTAACTCAAGGCGTGGTTCAAATTGGCCTATATGTTTGGATAGACTAGAACTAATTTCCAAATTATTAGTATAGTTTTATCAAATGGATCTAGCTGATTATGGAGTCATAAAGACTAATCCAATTCATAGTACTTACAACATGCATGTACCAGGTAGTTAGTACTATACAATATACTATACTACTAGATAATAAGGAGTATAAAATACGAGTGCAAACCCTAGGCCTGGGCATTCGAGTTACCCTATTATTTCGGGTCAGGTAATTAAAAATTCGGGTAATGAAAACTGCTACCCGATACTATTTAAAAAAACACTACCCGTAATTTTGGGTACCCGATAATTCGGGTTCGGGTATTCCCGATATACCCGAATTTACAAAAAAACCCAGCAAACTACACAAATATTCAGTAGCAATTTATATATAATTTCAGTAGCAATTTATATAAAATTTCAATAGCATTTTGTAGAGAATAATGTATTAAAGTCGCTTGTTCAAACAGAGAGAATTATATTCTAATAAAGTCATAAGTTCTAAGTGTTCAACTAACAACACATGATAAATACAAAGACAGAGACAAATGTTTGGGTAGTTCGGGTAATTTGGGTACCGGGGGATATTACCCGAATTACCTAAACTAATTTCGGGTAATCAAAATCGCTATCCGAATTTTAGATCGGGTACCTCGGGTTCGGGTAGTTTGGGTAATTTGGATATCAGGGAATATTACCCGAATTACCCAAACTAATTTCGAGTAATCAAAATCGCTATCCAAATTTTAGATCGAGTACCTCGGGTCCGAATTCAGATAATTTAGGTATGGATAATGGGTATCGGCTGTTTTGCTAGGCTTAGCCAACCCGTACTCCATCTCATGAGCACCTCATGTGCGCTGCGCTGCGCTCTCACGAGCCGCTGAGCCTGAAACGAGTGCGGCTGACTGAGCACTAGCTGCTTTCGATTTGCGTGGCTTTTTGCCTTTTTCTCTTTTCTCCTCCGCTCTGCGCTGCGCCCCTCCCTCCCTTTGTTTCCTCTGAATCTGACCATCTCTGCTTGCCTGCTGCTTTATTTATTTGCTCTTCTTCTTTACTAGTACCATCTAATAGTAATGGAGAGAGTGATGGCTGACCTCGTGCTGCATTTCTTGCTTTATTACTCCACTCATTATACGTGTCCTTCCTCCCGGCAAACATTTGTTAGTTAGGATTTCCAGTCCTACCACCTTCGCCTCATGTACGTACGAGTCGTGACCACGGATTCTCTGTGCGCCAATTGCCCGCCTGCGTTTTCTAAGCCCTGCTGGTCAGCTCACACACACTGTCTTTTTCTTTTCTTTTCTTTTTCAGGTATAATAATGAACTATCCAATGTGCTTATTTGAGGTTCTCTAAATTAGGAGAATGAAGCTCCCATTCCCATAACCGTTCACATCACAATTAGAACTTTATGGAGCAAATCAGAGTCCGCGCTCCCTTTATATTCGTCAAACTTCTACACAACTTTTTTTAGGAGATCTTTTCCATGATCCTCATCTAGAAATAAATATGTGTGGTTTGGCCTTGACCAACAATTCTTGTTGAGTCAACAAACTAAACCCAAACATGCATTAAGCTGTGGTGACGTGTCCAATCCACCGCCCACCCTCCCTTTAATTTCCCACTTTTTATTCCACTACTAGGAGCAGCGCTATATATCCTGTAGTATTATTAGTTTATCTCAGCCTAATTATATATAGTGGCATCATGAGACACACATTGGGATCCATCATAAAGCCATCAGCCGTAGAGGATCTCTCCAGCCCCTTAACCCAACACACATGCATTGCCCTACAAAGATCGCCTTCCCCTGTGCCACTCATCATGACCATCATCACACTCTGTACGTTCTGTTTACTACCCCCTTTCCGATTAATTGCACCACACACTTAATTCAAAAAAGTTAGTAGTTTTAATTCAACAACCCCCCTTGCATTGGTAGTCATCAACTACCTAATTACGCATCTGCTTGGCAATCTTGTGACGCCCAATTCAGAAGTCCGTGGAGGATCCAGAGAATCATCATCGTGCAGATGCAGCATCGACAGAATCACAGAAACTAAACGCGAGCCTTCTTCTCCTTCTGTTCTTGCGCGCTGCGATCTTGCCTGCCTGTGCCTGGCTGTGGTGCTGACGTGGGATGAACATGGATGAGAGAGATGATGCCACCTCAGCAGCAGCGTGCGTGCATGCATGCATGCATGCCAGAGGACAAGCCAGTCATTGGGCACTCGAGCACGGCCCGTCGCCCGGTCGCCGTATTGCAAACGCCAACTGCCCTCTCCGTTCCGTTGCCCATGTCTGCATCTGGTATCTATATATGCTCAGTTTCGGTCTCAGTCACTAGGCTTATTATTATATATAAGTATACACGCTGCATGCTAACAAAACTCCTCGTCAAAACTGCATGATTAAGCCTAGGCTAGTCCTGCTGGCTAATCTGTACTCACGTAGAGCTTTGTCAAACGCCAGTATCATTCCTTGCATGGCCCTTTTCTGGATCTCTTTTGGATGTATATATAAAATGTAGCATGATCTGTTCCGTCTCTTGATTTGCTGCTAGAGGAGTACTCCGTATAGAGTAGGTCATGGATATAGAAGAAGGAAGGTGATACCTCATACTACCTTGGTGGTGATCTTACGCTGGTCTGGTGCTGGGTTTAGGCATATTCCAAGCCTTGGCCGGCAAGGCTTCCCTGTTCTCTTCTGTTCTGCTACATGCATGTTGTGTTGGAGAAGAGAAATCACCTTTTCTCCCAAGATTCCTCTCACAGAATATATATATAATGGGTAAAAGTCGGTTGCTGTTGAACCAGTGGTTACTGTACAAAGATAACAGTTGTTTGATTTTGCGGTGAAAAGCAGGGAAATGCAAATTTTGACACAAAGGCAGCCACTGGATTGATGAATTACTCGTACTAGTTATTACTACTCTAAAGAAATAGTAATAAACATAGAGTTTTTTTTTTCTTGATTTTTTTGAGCAAAAACAGAGGCCTTTCCTTGATCCATAGAAGGAAATCCAGATTACCACAGAGCAGCTAGTCAATGAGTCAATACAAGTCAAGTAAAGTAAAGTAAAAAAGGGATACCTTTTTTTCCTTTCCCAATTCCCATGTGTAGTAGTACACTCCCCTGTCCCCTCCCCTATTGCTGGCTGTTTCCTTGAATTTCATGTGAACCAGCTCCAGCTGTGGCTGGAGTGAGTGACCGCAATACCAGCAGGGCAGCAGTGTGAAGGGTTTGAAAAGACGCTCCCGGTACTCCACTGTAACTGAAAACCCCACAGTCGTCACGGACCGCGTCGGTGCTTGCCGAGTTTCCTGCAGCTGCCGAGTTTCCTGCAGCCTGCATGGCGTCGCCCTTGGCCCTTGCTCTGTTGGTGTGGCCGACGAGGATTTGACGGGTGGAAAAGCAGCCTTCGTTCCCGTTCCAGCCTACCAGGTCACCTCCCTCCTCCATCCCTCGCATGCCAAGTGCAATGTAGGACGATGCAGCAGAGGAAAGAAAGGCCGAAAGAGACGCCGAGACGGGCCCCAGGGTCTGACCCTGGTCAATCCGAAAGCTACCACTGCTCTGTAGCTGTGTAGCTGTACGCCTGTACTGCCTGCACCCCCACCCCCCTGCAAGCTGGGAGCAATGGCCATGGCCCTCTCACAAGCCAAACCTCACTTCACTCTCTCTCTCTAGGCCATGTTTAGATTACAAAAAAAAATTCAACTCGATGAATAGTAGCACTTTCGTCTTATTTGATAAATATTGTCCAATCGTGGACCAACTAAGCTCAAAAAATTCATCTCGTGATTTTCAACTAAACTGTACAATTAGTTATTTTTTTACCTACATTTAATGCTCCATGCAAACGGCTAAAAATTGATGTGATAGAGAGAGAACGAAAAAACTTGGAATTTTGAGGGTATCTAAACAGGGCCCTACTCTCGAAGGAATCAACCACCCAGGCAGGCAAATCACACACAGAGAGAGAAAGAGGGGCATTGCATTGCATGGTTGATTGTGGCAAGGGAGATTCTTCTAATTCTAATCCTAATCCTAATCCTAATCCTACAGCGAGTGAGTAGATAAACAAATGATAGAGAGACGACATGAGAAGATTATGAAATGGTGTCCCCATCCACATGCCAGTATGGTCGGTGTGTAGATGAGGAGTATATAAACTCCCCGAGGGAGAGCGAGAGATTTCCGTCCAAAGGTGGAAGAAGCAAAGCATCTCATTCCCCAGGCCACCCCTCCGGCCTCCCCCTCCACCTTTTGTAGCTTTCCCATTCCCCCTCTTGCGTGCAAGCATCTTCCCCGCTCCATCTCCATCTTGTTTAACCCCCCTAGCTCTCATGGTCTTGGAGCTCGTTGTTCTACCGCTGGCTGACGCGTCAATCCCTGTCTGTTCGTTTCTGTCGCGCGGTTGCTTGCCTTGCTTACCTTGCCGAGAGATCGTGATCGTGAGCGGCGTGTGACCCGGCCAGCCTTGGCGTCTTCCGGGGGCGGGGGCCGTTGCTGTTTATTCGTCCGTTGCCCATCAATGCACTCCTCCCTTGCCTCCCCTGCATGCAATCCGTGTGTGCTCGCCGGCGTTGGTTTCGTGTGTCGCCTGCCTGTCTGTCGTCCTCACCGCAACGCCCTCCCCTCCCCGCCGCGCTCGCCACTAGCATTGCCTTCTCCTTCCGCTACAAGAATCTGACGAGCCCCTCCCGCGGTGTCCCCAGCTCCCTCCTTTCTCGACAGTGTTTTAGTCTGCGCATTGCTCTGCCCGAGGAGCAGCGGCGGCAGCTGCAGAGCCTTTGCCGCGTTCCCTCGCGCCGCGGTTCATGCTCCTGGAGTCGGAGGCGGCTACCTAGCTAGCTGACGGCGGGGCATGCGTTTCATCACAGGTGGCGGTGGCGGCGGGTCGGCGGCGCGGTCGTACGAGCCCATGGCCACGGTCGACACCACGGACCTGCGCTACTGGCTGCACTGGCGGGTGGGGCTGTGCGGCCTCTGGGTGCTCGCCTGCATGGCCGTCGCGGGCTACCTCATCTGGCGCCACGAGGGCGCCGGCGCCTACCGGCGCCCCGGCGGCGCGTCGTCGTCGGCGTCGGCCTCCTCGGGCCCCGCGGCTGGCGGCGAGCCCGGCTGCAAGGGGAGGCGCCCCGGGGTGCTGTACGACGACGAGGCGTGGCGGCCCTGCCTCCGCGACATCCACCCGGCGTGGCTGCTCGCCTACAGGCTCATCTCCTTCTTCGTCCTCCTCAGCCTCCTCGTCGTCATTGTCATCTCCGATGGCGGCAGCATCTTCTACTACTACACTCAGTAAGTCACCAGGCCAATCGCTTAATTTGCTACTAGATACTTCTTCCTGTTTTCTTTGATTTCCTCTGCCTTTTTTTTTCCTTTTCTAATTTTGAAAACAAAGATTGTTGTGGATTAGATGCAAAGTTGAGTAAAGATTCCCCATTTTAAAAACCTTTTGTCTTAAAAAAGAACAGAAGGAGGCGCATTGCCACTCAGTTGCTGCAGCTGATTAAGTCTTTGTATTTGGTGCTTGATTGAATTAGAAATCAGTCAGCAAGTTTGGCATTTGTTCTGTCCCCTTGTAATACTCTGAGTTTACAGGGAATAAAGGGCTCTTTCCATGGAACAAACCTGTTTTAAACATGGGGTCCTTTTTCAGTTGCAAGAACTGAACATGGTTCTTGGAAACAACTAGTAGCTTACACAGCATTCTCTGTTATACTACTGTACACAATTGATGGCTGCCAACAACTAGTAGCTTACACAGCAAGCGACACCCTCTGTGTCTGGTTTCCCCCCTTCACCAGTAATCTTTTCCTACAGTAGTACATTCTATATAGACTATTATTTGGGTGATGTACTGTTTTGCTTTAATTTATTATTTGGAAAAGGGCGTCACTGTAGATGTCTAATGTCTTGTGAAGCAGATTTCAGAAACAGTTTTTGTGGTTTGTGCACTAGTTAAATATTAGCAACTGATCATAAGCACCACATAGAGTGGGTTTTGGAGCTCTGTTTGTGTGGTCAGGCTTATCTACGCTTCATCGTAAATGATAAGTGGATAGTGTTGTAAGAATACCCACTCCAACTAGATGGTCTTCAGACTCTCTGTTCCATTGAACCTGAACATTTCTGATGCAAGTTTTCAACTGTAAATAAATACCTGTTTTTCAGATATTGTCTTCTTTTATTTATAAATCACTAGTGTAGCCTTTTTTCCACCTTTTTAAAAAAACACTCTGAGATTGTGACTGGTTGGTAGCACCAAATTTTTATGAAAGATCTGGTTGCTGTTCAAGTGTTTCTGCTTTGTAACTCTGCTCTTGAAATAGCACTTGTCCCGCCCTGCCAGCTTCTTCTAACGGTTGTTGAACTGTCTGTCGTGCAGGTGGACCTTCATTCTGGTGACGATTTACTTCAGGGGTAGGCCTTTTCTCTTTCATAGTCACAGCCAAATAATTTATCTGTCCACTGAATTCCTCAAGCCAATGATGCTTGCCAAAGACTTTGAAACGACCCGTTATCTGAAGAATAATTGTTTGTGAATTGTTTCAGCTTGGCACAGCCCTATCCATCTATGGCTGCAGCAAGTTCACTCATGAGAACGTCGCCGCGGTGGCAGCAGACATGGAGCTTGGCACGAGCTACATCCCTCATGGCTTGGCTGCTAAACCGACCTTCGATGAGCGCGATGGAGCTAGAGAGATTGCTGGGTTCTGGGGTTACCTGCTCCAGATCATCTATCAGGTAAAGAGGCCTCCACACCACCAAACACTTTGAAATATTATCCAGTTGGGGGACCTTTTCATGTTTCTTATTGGAGAGAGACATCTGTATGGTGCACTGACATTGGCTGATTTGGTGTTGCATACATGGAGGGGTTCTCATTTTGCTTTCGAGGTGCAATTATTAGTGCCGGGTAGTTACCATGATGCACTAACGACTGAATCAGTATGTTTATGGTGTGCTCATGGATCGGATTCTGTTTCTTAAGATCAGATCAGATGTGCCCACATAGCACCTCTGTCTGGTCACACCTCCATCTCCATGGCATGTAGCTGCTCCTACATGAGCCAATTGCTAATGGTCCATGTCCAGGCGTTCAGTCTGTATCTCTGCACACTGCGCAGCTCATGCATGTTTCCTTGCTTGCTCGAAGGGCTGAGTCACCTTTCCCCTTATTCCTGAAGTGTAGGGCTGACTCTTTAGATCGTGGCATCAAGAATAAAGGCAGCCTGATTCCTTTGGATTGATTTGCTAGGCCTAACTGTATCAGCAATGGTGACCGTGACTGAATGTCTGCCTAGGTTGGCATAGGACAGTCTGGAGATGTCACCTGCTTTTGCTTTGTGAGAAGAATTATTATTAGATAACTAAGGAAGGGTGATGGCCTAGGAGAAGTAGCTTCAGAATGAGCCACGTTAAAATTGAACTATACTATTAGCTATGCTTTACCATTCGATCTTAGAACTCTTTGTGATCTTTACAGCAGTACGGTAACTTTGTTTAGTATTTATCGACAGACAAATGCAGGTGCCGTGATGCTTACAGACTGTGTGTTTTGGTTCATCATTTTCCCGTTCCTCACCATGAAGGACTACAATCTCAACTTCGTAAGTATAAGTACTGTGTTCCCCAACATGGCATCTCCTCACATTCTGACAAAGAAAGTTCACTGATTAATTTCTCTTCTGGCAGTTGTTGATAGGAATGCATTCAGTGAATGCTGTTTTCTTGCTTGGTGAGGCAGCCCTGAATAGCTTGGTAAGCACATGAATGACCACTGAACTTGATGATCAGAAAAAAGGAAGTTGATGAATGTTTTCACAGTTTACTGAACACACTGCAAACTCTCATTTCAGAGGTTCCCTTGGTTCCGGATCGCGTACTTCTTCCTCTGGACCGCGCTTTACGTCATTTTCCAATGGATTGTTCATGCAGCAACTCCAATCTGGTAAACTTTCTAGCTTAAATCTCATAAACAAAGTACTACCACTACTTTGCATATATAGGCAATATAGCTGCATTTCATTTCATAGTACCTAAATCAATTCTATGTGGCTTTTGGCAGGTGGCCTTACCCATTCCTTGACTTGACATCAAATCTGGCACCTTTGTGGTAATGCTACTTACCTCACAACCAAGAACAAATCACTCACAAACTCTTTCCAAGTAATTATGCAAACTGTTCGTAATTAAATATAATTGACTCGCTCCCTACCAACCGGCATACATACCCAGGTACCTCGCGGTGGCGGTGCTGCAACTGCCGTGCTACGTGGTGTTCAGGCTGCTGATCAAGCTGAAGCACCACCTGCTGGCCAAGTGGTTCCCGGTCTCGTATGTAAGAGGCTAGCTAGGGCACAAGCCAGGCCGCCGTCTTCCCCGCCTCCATTGCAAAGGCAAGGGGTTCAGTTCTGCAATGTTGAAAGCAATTCAAGCTACAGAACAATGGCGGGGTCCGGGTTGTTTATTATTTGGGGGGAGCGATTCTTGTACAGGTGCCCTCTCCGAGCAAAGAATAGAGGGGAGTGGCACATGGATGCGTGCGTTTTTACAGGGGTATAAAACTATAAATAGTTTGGTGTACATTGGATGGAAGCTACAGAGTTTTTTTTCTTCTTTTTGCCGTGGTGGAAAGTGAACGGAAAGAGATCGAGGGCAGCAGGGAATGGCTTTGTATAGGTTGACTGATTGGAAGAAATGAAATGGAGATGGTGATACTATTCCTTGACATCTTTTGTAGAGCTGACTGACTGGTCGCTATATTATATACAGTATACAGTATATCTACGGTACAGAAGGGGTGCAGTTTTTGAATTTTTGAGACACAAGTGTCCCACCCATGCATCAGCCCTGATGTCCACTCGTTCGTCGTGATTATGTTTCAGGCTAGCTATCAAAACATTTTTTTTTAGCGAACGAGCACTTAGGTCCGTGTTAGCTATCAAATTGCGAGTCATGTTTCTATACAAAGCTCGTTGCAAACTCTGTTGTTCTCCAATTGCTTCAACGTGCACAGGTTCTGAGGAGAGGCGGGGGAGTACTAGCAAGGGAGCGGTTTTGATTCAAAGCAAAATATTGTCGATAGCTCTCCAATGCAACGTTGTTCTTTTATAAAAAAAAAAGATAAAAAAATAAAAGACAAACACAAGAAAAAGGAACAATGAGATTAATAAAAATGGAACAAAAATAAATGAAGTTTAAAACGAAAAAAAGACGGAAAACGAAAAAGTGGATAGATTTCTTGGCCTTGGGCTAATATACATCGGCCAGTTCGATGGGACGAATAGGAAAAATTTGGCCCAACAGTCTAACAAGGCCCGGCCCATGCGATCACCCTTGGAACGTGCGGTCCGCCAGCTATGAGCGGTTGTCCGCCCGTTCGGATGGTTGACAGTGTTTTCGGCCGTATTTTCGAAATTATGTATTTGGCCAAAATTTTACCTAAAATAAACAAATTGTCCGGTTGTCCCGTAGGCAAATGATTTTTATCTTCTCTTTCTTAGCCAAAAGGCCGAGAAATATGCTTTGACAAACTGCCCTGCGTCTCCTTTATGTAGCGAGTCCGCGCCTCCGTGCTTGCTTGGCTGGGCGAGGTGGGACTAACCAGCTGAAGCTGAACCAACCGCATGCGAGCGACTACTGCTGCGTCAGTCGAGTGCTATGTTAACGGGCCGCGGCCCAGCGGGTGTTGCCGCTGGATATATACATGCATTTTAACGTGCATTTTTTTTTTCTTTTACTAGTGTTCTAAATAATACCGATTGCTATTAACGTGCATTTTTCCCTTTACTTTATGAAAACGATAATACACCAAGACGTTCGTCCGGACGGACGTCTCACACTGCTCACTCCCGCACCCAATCCCTCGCTTCCTCCTCCCTTCCGCGCTCGCGCCTCGCCCCACCCGACACGCGGCCATGGCTGCCTCCTTGGCTGGCGGCGGCGCCCTCACCTACCCTGACGTGCGCCCTCCCCCACGCCGGCGTCCTCCTCTCCCACCTCGGCAGCTCCTCCCCCATCCCGGTGTCCTCACCCACCGGGAGCACCCAACGCCCATGGATCCGTTGGCCCTCTCCCCCACCCCGGCGAGATCCATGGAGCACGAGAGCGAGATCCATGGATGTGGCGCGCGGTGTTGCAGGGGAGCGGGTGGCTCTCCGCCACCTTGGCAGCGCCCTCTCTCACCTCGACGACCGAGGTCCGCCACCCAAGTGGCGCTGAGCCAAGCCCGGTACTAGTGGCGCTGGTCGTGGTGGTGCTCGCGCGCAGCCACTCGCTGCCATCTCTGACCCTGGCGACAGGAATCGACCAACCTAGCCTTCCCCTCACCTATGTTGCATATGTATGTTTCAAGTGTTTCAGATATATGTTGCAATTGTTTCATATGGATGTTGCAAAAGTAGATCAAGGGATATTGCATATGCTGCATATGTCGCAATTGTTTCAGAGGCATGTTGCAAGCATATGTTTAGAGTGTTTCAGATGTTTCATAGGTATGTTTCATCTGTGTTTTCCGGACGCACGTTGCAAGTGTGTTTATCTTCATGTTGCATATGTTTCACACATACGTTACATGTGTTTTATTTGGATGTTGCGTATGGTTGCAATGGTTTTTAAGTGTTTCTCAGGTGTTTTTTCAAGTGTTTCAGAAACATGTTTTAAGTGTTGTATTTGGATGTTTCAAAATAGATCGGGTGGTGCATCTCTCCTCCTCACCTTCTGCTGCACTTGGACTAGCCCTCCAATGATCACCCGGTTCTTCCCCCACACTAAAAGATATTACTTCCTCGATTCCAAACAGGCGTATAACAAAAGTTACGCTTCTAGAAAATTCAGAACGTCTTAAAATTTGCAACGGAGGAAGTACTATTTTGTAGGCAGTTGTGTTACATTTTGCCTGGCATCTGGCCAGTTAAATTTCATTGTCGACCAGCTAAATCTTCAAGTGCCATTTTTCATGTCAGGTTTTTCTTCCACTAATTTTGTCTTACGATTGAGGCCCCGAGCAAGGGAGCATAATATATATTGTGCCAGGCAATATATGTGACTGTCTCACACACAGTCATCTCATGTACCAGAGGGCATACTTTGTCCCTCAGTGCTCCAACTTCAGCTATTGAAATCTTTTTCCATCAGAAGCACCTTTTTTTTCCTACAAGTGGCTCCATAAAAAACGACCTTCTCTATAGGTGGCTTCAAAAATCGCCTCTAAAAATCGTTTAGAGATAGTTGGTGAAATACATGGCTGTATATTTAGAGATGACTGAAAACATCATCCATTTTCAGAAAAGCAGTTTTTTACTAGTGTCCTCAGGGTCCTGGTCATGCCTCTCGAGACTATTCCGAACTATACCTAGCTAAGGGCAGATAATATCGTACGTGCATACAATGTGCTTATCTAAGGAGCCGAGCCCTACCCATTTTCTACGTAGCTAGCTAGCCTACCTACTTTGCATGGACATGTGGGGACATGTTATACACACATATATGTAGGAAGCTTGGCCGCCGCTCATGTTGACAATTGGGGCAAAATTTAGATGTGTGTTTATCTTATGTTGTATATGTTTTACACATACGTTGCATGTGTTTATCTTGATGTTGTATATGTTTTACACATACGTTGCATGTGTTTATTTTGAGATTACATATGTTTCACACATACGTTGCATGTGTTTTATTTAGATGTTGCGTATGGTTGCGATGATTTTCAAGTGTTTCACATTATCTCGGTGTGTCCTCCTCTCGGTGCTGGCCGGGATCCATACGACGCCGCGGCCGGGTCCTTCCGAATCGGAGGCGCCGCTCCCTGCCCCTCTTGTCGCTCGGGCGGCGTGGGGCCCGGCGTAGAGCGCGTGAAATGGAGTGCAGCGTGTGGGTGTCCGTCTGGATGTCCGGGCACTAGCACTACCGTTTTGAAAAAGGTATTAACGTGCATTTGTTCTTGCTACAATCATATACAAATACAAATCCTTTATGCAACCAAACAACACCTTGCTTGCATTCTTTGTCGTGTTGATTTATGTGCCGTATTCCAGCTTAAGTTCCTGGCTTCTGACCGTTTCCGTTGAATTTTCAACCGTATTGGTCTGTCTTCGTATGCCCGCATATTTTGGTTCCGTTTCCAAATCCGCATTTTTTGGAAATAGAAACCAGTATTTTCTGTCCGTTTCCGTTCGGCTGCCGAACAAAATATATTTGTTATACCAAATTGGATGCTATGAACATGCGAATAGCAGGCTGCTGCTGCAAATTACATTTCATATATGTAGATGCTATGCACTAAAACAGCGGCTGCTACCGCTTTAGCTGCAGCGAACGCAGCCGCCAACAGGGCCGTGTCGTCGACCTGGATCCTTATCGAACATCAGGCCGTGTCTTCACGGGCCTGTGCCAGGCCGTCCATTTGGCCTTCTATAGCCGCAAGCGTGTGTAGTACTAGTACGCACACTTGGCTTCCCATAAAAAAAGTACAGCACACTTGGCGACAACATCATCATGGTGCTAAACAATAGAGCAGAAATTATGTGGAAGCAGCGTTCCAGAATTCAGTGGCTCAGGAAATAAGAACAGTGGTTTCTTTCACCTGCGTGCGAGTCAAAGAACGAAGAAGGAAGAATGGAATTGTGAAGCTCAAGAAGCATAATGGACAAGTCACGGAAAATGCTCATGAATTAGCAAATCTTACCACAGATTTTTTATAAACAGCTATATGCGTCAGAAGGCACAGAAAAATATGGACGTGGTTTTGAATACAGTTCCAGCCAAAGTGATGCAGGAGATGAACAGCAATGTGCTGGCCCCTTTTACAGAGTGAGATTAAAGTCTGCGTTGTTTCGTATGTTCTCCACGAAGGCCCCTGGGCCGGATGGTTATCCTAAGCGTTTTTTCCAACGACATTGGGAGATTTGTGGTGCTGAAGTCACTCAGGTGGTGCTGAGGTTGCTACGAGGAGAAGATGACCCGGCTAGCATTAACATTGATCCCTAGAATGGCAAGCCCGGAAGAGCCGAGCCAATTCAGACCAATCAATCTATGCAATGTCATCTTTAAGATTACATCTATAGAGCGACTAGCGTCCAGACATCCGGACGTGGCGTCTGTTCGGACGCTGCTCCTATGCCCACGCCCGATGCACACCCACCCACGCCCGACGGACGCCCATCCTTGCCCAATGCACGCTCTGCGCCGCCAGACGCATGCCTCGCGCTCATCCCCGCTTCGAAGGCAGCAATCGTCCGAACCGACCTTCCCGCGCTTGCGCCCAATGCACGCAGAATGGAGGCCCGCGTTCCATCCTGCCCATCGCGTCGTGCACGCGCCCATCCCGGCCGATCTACCGCGGCATCCCAT